TGCTGAAGAGCAGAGTTTGTCAGGGTGCAAGTGGCTTTTTCTAGGGAATTACAAAGAAATACTCTGAATGTCTGACTTGGGTGTGAAAGTTCCAGGAAGGTATTTTTCATTCCCTCTCCGTCCCTGAAAGAGTCAGATAGTCCTCGCGCTGAGCACAGCTCTGCTAGTCATCTGTAAACGTCATGCTTTTCGCGTCCCTGGCTTGGTTATAACATGTTTGACCGAGTGTGGTGTTTCATTCCTGTGTATCTAGGTACACTTACAAAGAGAGAGTAGTTTTTTGCAGTACGCTTAAAGGAGAGTGATAATACATGGCGTACAAAAATAATAAAAAATACACATCTCTTGCAAATGAGCACTCAGGGCCTACAGGGGAGGGGAATAGAAATACAAGCTTTAGGAAAAAAAAAAGAGTAACCCGTAAAGCCAGCTGAGATAGGATACTCTGGTACTTTTCCCCTTCTTCTTTCAATATAATTTATTCCTTCCAAGCATAGGATTAATACACTAGCAGTAATCAAGGAGCGCAGTCTCCACTGCACTGATGCTAGTACTTGCTTTCAGATTGCTTGGAAGGGACGTTCTTGTTCGCAGGAGACCAGAACTGCGCGTTTTAAAGGCCCTTTGAGATTTCGGGTTGCTTGTGTCCAGGTCACCTCAAATAGCGATGGCAAAAGTCTTCAGTAAATTTTCCAGAAGCAAAACTTCTTCCTGTTGTATGATTTCGGAGTACCGCTCCAATGGGTCTTGTTTGGCCTCATCATTTGTTATGGCTTACTTCCCACATGGGTTTGTAAAAAGTAAAAGTTACAAAAGTGTCCTTTTTGCTTTGTTACAGAAAATCATCAAAAATGGGCAAAGGCGATCCTAAGAAGCCGAGAGGTAAAATGTCTTCATACGCCTTCTTTGTGCAAACCTGCCGGGAGGAGCACAAGAAGAAACATCCAGATGCTTCAGTGAACTTTTCAGAGTTCTCAAAAAAATGCTCAGAACGATGGAAGGTAGGAATAACCGCTTAAAAAGCCCACAAAGCCTTAAATGATTGCTTTGTGTGAAATACTATGCGGGACTGTAAATTATTTCTTTAAAAGTTCAGGGTTTAGATAAGTATGAAGTGCAATTGTATGATTAGTGGTAACTATCTGTTGTTCTTGCCTTACCTTTAGCTCTCCTAACTGAAGTTTTGGAATGGACTTGGATATGCTTTTGAGTCTTAAAATACCATTTTGATCCTTATGGGTCTCTTCCAACTTGAGATATTCTGTGATTCTAATTGCCTTGCAGACTATGTCTTCTAAGGAGAAAGGGAAGTTTGAAGATATGGCAAAGGCTGACAAGCTTCGTTACGAAAAAGAAATGAAAAACTATGTACCACCTAAGGGGGAAACAAAAAAGAAGTTCAAGGATCCAAATGCACCGAAGAGGCCTCCGTAAGTAGATTTCTAGTTAGTTTATCTTGTTCGAGAGCATCGCACTGGAGAGTATCTATAAAACGATCATTTTATCCAGGTTTAGGAGCTTCAGAAATACAAGACTACATAGTTTTCCTGACCAGTGGCGTAAAGATGGGTTGAAATTTTAGTTACGAATTACAGGTTTGTGGTTTCAGGTTGGCCCTCGTTATCTAAGTTGGAATAATGTCAGCCTTTAAAAGTGGGTGCAAAAGTCGGTGACATGCAGTTCTGACTCATGTTCCCAATTTCTGTTAAGAGGGTAATTCTAGTGTAAAATGGCAGTAAAATATTGCAGGCCCTGCTCTCCCCACCTGTCGGCTTGAGCAGAATTCTTGATTGGCAGTCCATTTAAGATGAAGAGGCTTTTGCACAGAATGGGTTAGAAGGATGATCTTGCACAAAAAAACAGCTTGGAGAATTAAAACTTCAGCCACTGCGCAAAGACTACTGACTTCAGGTTCACTTGGTACTAGACACTAGTACTTGGTAGCAGTACATTTTTTGTGTGTGTTTTATATGGAGCTAATGCTGAAAGGAACAGGGAAGTTCCTGTACAAGTGAATGTTCTTATTTGGGCTGATGGTGTCATCTCTAAATCCTAATTTTCATAACAAATATTGCAGCTTCTCTGCTTTTAACAGTTCTGGCATAACATTTGCTCCCCTGATATCATTCACTCATTCTCCTTTTTTAAGATTTTTCTCTGCATATGGTATATAAAATTTGCCCTTCTGGGGGTCCTGCCAAAAATGGGACCACTAAGTGACATTACTTAAGAGACAAGGATGTGTTATGTTTTCAAAGTAGTTTATTTAGTTCTAATACCTTCCCTTGTAATTAATGTTTGTCTCACTTTTAGGTGCAAAATGCAAAACATTTTCCAAAACGCTCTTAAGAAACAGTAACAAAGGTCACAAAACTTTCTGTAATAGTAAAGTCTAAAATGAAAATAATCTTATCTTTCTTTCTTTTTTTTTTTTTTTCTCCTCCTCCACCCTCTGTAGTTCGGCTTTTTTCTTGTTTTGCTCTGAGTTTCGTCCAAAAATCAAAGGAGAACATCCTGGTCTGTCCATTGGGGATGTCGCAAAGAAACTGGGAGAGATGTGGAACAACACCGCTGCAGATGATAAACAGCCTTATGAAAAAAAGGCTGCTAAACTGAAGGAGAAGTATGAAAAGGTAACATCGACATTTATGGAGATGGTTTGGGGAGGTCAAGCCTCAATTTAGATGGCTTTTTCCTTTTTGTGTACTCCGGTACCTGATGTTGCAAATTATAATAATGACAAATGTCATGATATTTGTTGGAAAATACCATGCAAGGGAGCATGTGGTTTATTACTGTAACACTAAATTGCCATCCTTTGTGTTGAATTATTTGCATTCATCTGTAATTCAGGACCATCAGTGACGGTTTAATAGATACCATGGTGTCTGTTATTAAAACAATAGGTCACAGCAGTATTAAGTAGCGCCAGTAAAGAATAAGATGGTTGTCCCTGCTTTGGGAGGTGTTCAGTACTGATGAACATCCCTGAACATGGAGATAATTGATACACATAGGTGTTCTTTGTAGTTTATTCTTGGGATAATGTCGGAACACTAACGAGACGCTAGTTTTAGACACGTGTTTTTTCTCTACCTAGTTTGTGTCCGTCTCCTTTCTAGTAATTAACATAGTTAATAATACATATGAAGCAGCATGTCATACAATTTCTTCAATTATTAAAGCTAAATCCCGTCATCATTATTGGAGCTGTAGAAATGTGTTGCACGCACAGGGTAGTGCTACACGTGATTTTGTTTCCAGAGGCAGATTCCCATCCCAGTGCAAGGAAACCAAGGGAGGAGGGGATGCATGTTAGCACCCCCTGATGATGCTCTGCAATGGGTCAGCAACCACCTACGGCTAATGTATACCGTGTATATCCATTTGTGTGCCATGACCTTCCTCTCCTGCTGGCAAACAAAACCACTTTAAAATTGTGGCATTGTAGTGAGCAAGGTGGCCTCTTTGAGTCCTAATTATGTGCTGGAGAGGAGCTGCAGGTCTAGAAGCTTTCCCATATTGTCCTTCCTGTGCAACTTAAACTCTTCAGTACAGTACTTGCCTGTACATACAGCCAAGGCAACTCATAAGAGACGCTTTAAATGGTAGAATTATTAATCGTTATTCCCAGGCGTTTTAGTCTTCACTGGTATCGTCGTTATTTCTTACGCTTACAAGTGGGGTTTAAAGGTGCAGTAATCACAATATTTCACTGCTTGGCCTTTGACTCGGTGGATATCGTATCTTCTGAAAATTTCATGCTAAGCTTTCAGGGAGCCTGAGGGAACTGTAAGCTTAGTGGTATAATGTTTACTGGGTGGGGAATATTTGAAGATTTGGACCATTCTGCATAAAGGTGTTGGCGTTTCTCTGTAGCTCCTATGTTTAAGTCCTGTAGATCAATTCTGTTACGTAATTGTTCTTATTATTTTGGCACAAAGTCAGGAAGTCTGACTGGTTTTCTGGCTTGGTCTCCCAAGTACAGTTTTGAGTTCCCTATAACAGGAACTGAATTTTCTGTGTTATAAACCACTAGAATAAATTTATTGCATGCAGAAGGTGGCACTGTCTACCCTTTAATCAAGTTCTTATAACTTTTTATTTTGTAAAGTTCAGTTAGGCAGAATTCTGTGTAATTGCTCTTTGCTGATGCATAATGTTGCAGATATTAGGTCATGTCATTCTAATGTGTTTCGGAATGCTAATTGCAGTTTTGTGCCTCAAACGAGGGTTTTCCTGTGTGTTTCTGTAGGCATTGTAGAGGGTAGGGCTAGAAAGGGACCTTAAGAGGTCTCCCTACTTCATTTCCTTATGGGATAGTGGGCTCAGCTGTGCCTTTACTATCCGAGGCAGCAGCTTTTCCAACCTCTTCCCAGAAGCCTAACAGCAGAGATTCCTCAACAGCCGTAAGCGGCGTGTTGCAGCGTGCCGGTACCATTCCTGTGTTAGAGGGTTCCCCTTCCTTTGGCGTTGGGCCTCAGTTCACCTTGTAACTGAAGCTGCAGCTCCCAGTCCTGCCCCCGTGGATGGGGAGAAGGGGCAGACACCTGGGTGGCTCTGGTTTCACAGGCGCCGTTCGGAAGTTGCTGAGAGCTCTTGGCTGGTTAAATCTTTGAGAGATTCTTCCTGCTTTTCTCCTCCAAGGATATTGCTGCATACCGGGCCAAAGGGAAGGTTGATGCAGGCAAAAAAGTAGTTGCCAAGGCTGAGAAGAGCAAGAAGAAGAAGGAGGAGGAGGAAGATGAGGACGAAGACGAAGAGGATGAAGATGATGAAGAAGAGGAAGAGGAGGAGGATGAAGATGATGATGATGATGAATAAGTCTCTTTTAGAGCAATTTCTTTCTTGTCTATAAAGCATTTAACCCCCCTGTACACAACTCACTCCTTTTAAAGAAAAAAAAAAATTGAAATGTAAGGCTGTGTAAGATTTGTTTTTAAACTGTACAGTGTCTCTTTTTTTGTATAGTTAACACACTACCGAATGTGTCTTTAGATAGCCCTGTCCTTAGTGGTATTTCAATGGCCACTAACCTTGCCTGGTACAGTGTGGGGGTTGTAAATTGGCATGGGAGTTTTAAAGCAGGTTCTTGTTGGTGCACAGCACAAATTAGTTATATATGGGGATGTAGTTCATTTTTCATCTTCAGTTGTCTCCGATGCATCCTAAAAATAATTGTCGTTCTGTTAACTGAATACCACTCTGTAATTGCAAAAAGGAAAAAAAAGAGTTGCAGCTGTTTTGTTGACATTCTGAATGCTTCTAAGTAAATACAATTTTTTTTATTAGTATTGTTGTCCTTTTAATAGGTGCCCTTGAAAAATCATACTTTTTCTTTTCTCTCTCTCTCTCTCTTTTTTTTTTTTTTTTTTTTTTTTTTTTTGGGGGGAACCCTTTTTTTTTTTTTTTTAATGCCCGT